GCTGTGCCATATGAACCCCAGGTCTCTTTCTTCCCAGAATTTTCATTTTCTCAATCATTCTTGTTTGTTTTCCTCTGCTTCTAGTGGTTTCAGCGATGTGTTTTGCTTCTTTTCGTTCTTGTTCTACCATATTTTTTTATTTCTTTTAAATGGTAAGTTCTGTTTCTTGCCGTTGTTTGTCTTCTTCGAATATCCTGTTTGTGAGCTTCAATCAGCACTTTTAAGTTCCCGCTGCTTCCTTCTTTGTTGTTTTCTTTTCCTTTTGGCTCAAGTTCTAGCTGCTTTCTATGCGAAGTGTTTTAAAAAAGTTGCTTTCAAGATTCTTTCCGGATTCCCAATCTTTCCTTCATATTTTATTCGGCTCTTTTATTTTCTGCAATTTTGGCATGCGGCTGTCAGACAGAGCCTTTCCCCATCCTACAGTTCCCTTATAAAATTTCTTATTTTAAGAAGCAAAAGATTCTGAAAGTGAGTGGTAAGACCGAAATTGTCCCCCCCCCCCCAACTTTTCTCTAAGGCGCTCCTTGTTTCTGATTTCTTTTCTTTCCTTGTGTGAGTATCTGTATAGAAGTTTTGGAGTATCCGGTGAGATTCAATCTTTTCTTGTATAACATGTTGCAGGTGGACTTGGAAACTGAAGAGCCTCAAGCACAGCAAAATGGTGGGTCCTGATTACCTTTTACGAGTTTTCTACTGTACAAAATTCTGTTGTTTTAAAAATTCTAAAGATAATATATGGATTTTGCAGAGGAAACAAAGGTTGTTCGGATCAAACTTCAGTTACAAAAAGACTGCTTGTTCGGCGAACAGTTTCTTGTAGTGGGTGATGATCCTATGATTGGTGCTTGGGATCCCTCAAATGCACTACCAATGACCTGGTCAGAAGGGCATCTCTGGTTTGTTGAGATGGTGAGTAGAATCCATTAATCTAACAGAAATGTGAAGACGAGAATAATTTTTACCTGGTGGCATAAATAGACTTTCTTGTGTCTAAATAGGATGTGCCTATGGGGAGGACAATCCAATACAAGTTTATTCTGAAATCAATGTCTGGAGATATTATGTGGCAGCCAGGGTCTGACCGAATTGTTAAGACTTGGGAAACTGTCAACAGAATAACTGTTTGTGAGGATTGGGAGAATGCTGAGCTTCAGAAAATCACAGAGGAAGAACAACCTGATTACTCAGATGGGCAACCCCTGATTGACTCAGAAATGTCAAATTTTTCTGAGAATTTGGATCATCCTGAAGAAGAGACGGTATCTGATGCAACCAATGCACTAGACTTTGAAGACAGCAAAAGTCGTTTAGAGGAGAAACCACTTGCTCAACCAGACGTGCAACAAATTGCAGGTGATATCACTTCTTCTTCCATGGAGAAGCCAATGGCTATTGTTGCAGAAAATATAGATTCATCAGAAGATGCCCCCAAGAGTACACCTCGAAGAAGAGGCGTGAACAATATGGCTCTTCAGAGTGAAGTTACAGTTCATGATCTTGAACACATGGGAAAAGTTTCACAAGTCAATAATCAGGGAAAGGAAGTTTTGAAGGGCAACCTATTTGACTTTGAAGGAAGTCCTGTTCTTGTACCTGGCTTGACTCCACCTAAAACTGAAGAAACAACTAGTCATAAAGTGGAAGAGAGGGATAACAAGGACACTTCAGTAGAAGCACTTGAAAAGAAGGATCAGGACATGCCAGAGGTAAACTCTTGATGAGCGCGATGATCCTTTTCTCGTCATGCCCTTCTAGTTTCTTCTTCATTTTTCTTGTTCAAACCTACCTTAGGCAGAAAAATGGTTGATTCTGTTTCCAGCACAGGGGCTTCCTTTTCTTTTTGTTTTTTTTTTTCCTTGGGGCTTGGGGTTTCTATTCTACTAATATTACTTGCATAATAAAAAGGAGTTTTTTTTTTCCTTTTCTGTTTTTTCTTCTGTATGGTCTCTTGTGTTTATCAATGGAAGTAAGCTTTGTCCATTTCCAGGGCACATCAAGTTGTTTCTTAGTACAGCATTTCTGCATCTGAATGTGCAAAAAGAAAGAAAGAAATGATATCTCCAATCTTATTGATAATAAAATAATACAATTGACTATACCTATTTTTATAAGCAATAATCGACTTCTCTGTCAATTATGATGAATTACCAAAAAGCCAAGCTATTATAATGTATGATGCAACCGAAAGCCATAAAACTTGCACCGTATCTAGATTTCAGAGACTCAGTTAGCTTTCCATTGTTAATGCGCGTTAGATTCACATGTTGTACTTTTGACCAAAAAGAAAATTCACGTTGTACGTTTTCCACCGCTTTGTGAGCGCTAAAATTCCTTAGCATCGGCATCACAAGCATCTGATGAGCACCTGTGGCCATAAATTTCTAATAAATCTGTGGCTTGTCCATGCTGGTTGAGCAGTTCTTTCAACTCTTCTGTAGGTAATCTATTATTCTGCATTCCTCCCAAACAACCTGAAACTGCTGAATTATTGATGTTATTGTTTTTTCATTGCTTGATGGAACTGAGAAGGTCCAATTCAATGAGGGGCAAGAAGAATCAGATGATGGGGTGCAGGTCAATGAAGAAGAGCAAGAAGAATCAGATGACGGAAAACCCCAAGAGATAGCTGAAACACTCAGTGATGAACCAGTACTGGTTGACAATGAGGGGCAAGAAGAATCAGATGATGGGGTGCAGGTCAATGAAGAGGAGCAAGAAGAATCAGATGACGGAAAACCCCAAGAGATAGCTGAAACACTCAGTGATGAACCAGTACTGGTTGACAATGGGCTTCCAGAGAAGTTTCATTCAACCACAGCTATAGCTAAAGTGCCAGAGGTTCACACGGCTCATGAAAATGTCTTGGAAAGTGATATTCAGTGGGGCCGTGGAATATTAAAGAACCTTCTGTCAAAGCTCGGATTTCCATGAGAAAAATTCTTCATTAGACTCCTGTGGATGAACAAAGAATGGGTAGGTCAAACTAACCATGGATTGATATACAAGTATGTTACCACGCTTTCAGTGAGACTTTTGACATGCTTATCCTCATCCATGAATAGTTTGGTTGGGTAATGTTTCAAACCAACTTTGTCTGAAACTTGTGTGGTTGTTCTAATCCATTTGCCATTTTGTTAGCCTGGCAAAGTGGGATGGGAGTCTAGCCATTTCTTGGCAGGTATTGAGTGTCGATACATAGTATGTTTTAAGGGTGTAATTTTGTTGTATATCATGCTTCTATATTCAGTTAGATTGTATGATTCTTTCAGTTTCGCTCTCTCTTTTATACAGTATGAGGAGTTTCAGGGGCAAAAGAATGGAGATTTGTTCATGAGAGTTCAACAGAACTTGCCTGTAAAAATTACATGTTGTAATGCAAAGATGTAAAATGCTTTTGCTTATTGGATTCCTTTTCTTGTTTTTTCCGGGCTGGATTCCCTATTGGATTCTTTGCTATGAGAATTTGAGAAATCGTGAATCGTTAAATATGTAGATTTATGCGCTCCATTTGTATCTGGGATCTGCTGGCCTTTGCTCAGTGCCATAATATGCCTATTGTGATTGGTGTAATCTTCACGTTAGTTCGATTTATCTTAGAATTTTTCAATGCTTTGAAGTTTCATTGGAACAAGATAAATTACCAGGAACAGGAACCATGTTACCTCAGGAGAGATTTCCAAAGTGGAATAACAGGAAAGAAAGGATGCTTGGAAAATGTAAAGTGACGGTGCTCAGGTCTTTGAAATGAGTGAAGCACATAACGTACGGCAATGGTAGTGGCAAGTTCAGCTGGACCAGAAGACTAAGATACCGAAGTTTTTAAGGAAAATATTCAGCAGGCGGCATCTTGTCTGCTTCATTAATTAACCACATGATGACTGTCCGCATCACTTAAATGTTGCAACCTTCGCGAAGATGACGACAACGTTATAGAATATTTAGGTGGTGGTGACAATTTGCAGAGTCCTTGCACTTATATTCGTTTCTTTCTGTGTTTTTTCCGGTTTCTGCCCCAAACGGTGTTATTAAAGAATCAAATATGAAATCCATCTCTTGGTGCATTATAGTATTACCTAGAATGCATATACACAAACACGTCAATGCTAAGTTCGAATCTAAAATCTCATCCAAATAGGAGTTAGATAGCATCACAAGTGTCAAACTTGCTAAGTATTTTCTACGCAAAATTGAAACTCAATTTTGGTTAATAAATTCCAAATCACTTGTAATAAGTAACTGTAGTTGACACAATTGTTAAAATATAAACACGTTAAACTTGAAACAGTGGTTGCGAAAAAAATATGTTGCATAAATGGTTCCATGAGGAAAGCAAAATTAAACCACCTCTTATTTATAAACACATAAACCCAGTGCTTTGACCAATGGAGTCTTTCATCATTGACAAAGTTTATCCCAAACATCACCGTCATATTCTTCAAATACAATTTCAGCAGTTTAGATATAAAATTTTTAACTAATGAACTTTAAACTAAAAAATTATTTTTTTCCGAAAAGTTAACAGTTAAGAAGTTATTTTTATCTTAGATTATGTATATATTAAAATAAATTTTTAAAATAATAAAAGTTAAAGTTAAAATTCAATTGGAACTATTCAAGTTAGATTTAAACAGTGTGCAATGGTGACAAGTTTTTAGTATTTATCAGTTGGCTTGTCGAAACTTATTCTCCATACTTTTTTTTTTTTGGCCAACTTATTCTCCATACTTACATCATGTATGAATCGATCTTGCCGCCACAAATAACGTACAAAAGAGTTAGAGGTTACCAGTAGCCATAGAATTTTGGATCTACTTTCAGTTTTGACCATATCCTAATAATTAATAATCCTGTTTATTTATTTGAATCATCTTTTTCATAATTGAAAACATTAATCCCATCAAATACAATCCCTCTCATTCCTTCCTGACACAAAACCATGAACAACCTTCCCATGATTTGAAACTGAAAATCCTTCTTCACTTGCCCATCAAGTCTCTCACATGCGTCTAAAGTGTTTGTCCAAATCATGGCTCTCTCTCATCTCTGACCCCTACTTTGCCAAACTCCATTTTCAACAACCTTCCCAACAACACCCAAATCGAATCCTTTGCACAAATGGTCCACAAATCCTATCCATAGATTTTAACTCATCCCTTCATGACGATTCTGCTCTTGTGAAACTGGACCTTCCCCTTTTCAAATCATACGCTGATGTCAATTTCATGACGGCTTCTTACCGAGGCTTTGTGTTTCTTAGGCCTATAGATGAGCACAGATTTTTTCTTTTGAATCTTTCCACAAGGGTCTGCCAAGAAATTGCAATACCTCCTACGACAGTACGCGATTCCATACCTTATTTATATAGCTTTTGTTATGATGAGTTTGCCGATGACTACTTGGTAGTGCTCGGATCCAGATACAAGAAGAAACCAGCATCATCACCTGATATTCATCTTTTAGGCTTTGAAGTCTTCTCTATCAGAAGCAACTCATGGGAAGAACATGGCCAACTTGCCATCGGTGCTTGGACCGTACCAGCCATTGGCTTGTTCTTAAACCGTGCTATTCATTGGCTTGTTCGGACTCCATCTGAAATAGAAATTATTGCATTTGATATAACAACAAAGAGTTTAAGAGAGATTCCTGCGCCCTCTGAATCCGATGGTAATTTCTTAGAAATAGTGTGTCCTCTGCGCGCACTTAAAGGATGCCTCTCCCTCGTGTTGGGATCGAATGGTCGCGATGATGAGATATGGACCATGAGAGAGTATGGAGTGAAATCGTCTTGGACCAAGTTTTTCTCCTTGTCATGTAGCAAGTTTATGGATAACATATTCCCCATGTGCTTCTCCAAAGATGTTCAACTAGTGCATGACCACATAAGATTATCAAAATGGAACGAGAAAGGAGAATTGCAAGAATGTCGTCAATATTTCACCCAGCGTCGTCAAATTTGTTGTCTGTGCTTCCGCTTTTACGCAGCAACTCCTTATACTGAAACTTTGCTTTCTCTCCCTTCACTAGTTTAGTCAGGTAAAAAGGTTGTGTTGGAAAACCTGAAGAGATCCCACTAAAATTACTGTTGGAAGGTATTTTAGTTTTTAGACTTTCGGATGAAATAATCGTGTGTTTATGCCCTTTGTTTTGGAATCTATGGCAGAAAGATTATAAAAAAAAAAAGTCAAAGACTTTGTAGTCTAGTGGTGTTGATGCTCTCCTATAAATTAGAGTTGTGGGTTTAATCTGCTTATAATTTTAAGCCATTAGTGCTTGTTCCTTTAATTTAAAAAAAAAACAAAAAAAGGATTAAAAAAAAAAAACTTTTTTCATCTGCCTTTTTACAGAAGATAGTGCTGAAATGGAACTGGCCAGGGACAATCCATAACCCAAATGATGATTATTACATGCTACCTTCGGGTCTGATTTTTTTTTTTTAAAAAAAAACTTACAGTTGCAATTATAAGTTGTTTTTTAAAAATAAATTTGGAGGTAATACTTTTTTATTTGCAAAGAACAGCATTAATGCTTTTGCACATGGAAGCCTTCATGCTGATCTTCTCATTTTATCTCAGTTCTTACTCGTTTCGTTACTTTTTATGAGCAACAACATATGTCATAGTAGTGTTATTAGACATAGGAAATAAATTTGATTTTAGAGTCAAGGTGTATCTAACACTTCCAAATATTTTCTTAGATGCATTTAATATTCTAATGTTATTTATGATGCAATTTAACCCCTGAAATATTTAAAATGGTGCACCATCAGCCAATGTTAATAGAACTATTTTCTTTAACCGTGAAATTAATAACTCAGCTCAATTTTGATTAAAAAAAATATATAGTTGGGAAATCGCATAAGCAGATGATGTGGCATTTTGGTTATTTGTTATTTTACACCCAGGGCGTCAACTCTTACCACAAAAAAAATGATAAGCACTAAAATATTAGTATTTCTTTTCTTATAATGTTTAACTAAAATTTCATTATATCCAACTAAGTTAATTTTTTGTGTGTGCTAACAACTGAATTAAATAATCAAGTTAAGGACCATTTAACTTTTTAATCCATAAAAGTCAATTACGTTTTCCGCTCCTTGTAATGTTATCATTTATTACTTTATATTAATGGTAAAATTGCACATTGATCCTATAATTTTATATAACATTTTAATTTAATCCCTTAATTTTATAAAATATATTTTAAATCCTCTCACCTTAACTGTGTTAGTCTTAACTCTTAAATGAAAGTTAGATCAAGTGCCACAAGGCAATGTTGCTCCCAAAAAGAGATTCCAATAAGGAAAAAAGTAGTAATGATAATTAGGAGTTTTTCTGGGGCCATGTCATGTCATGATTCAGTTTGGCGGGAGTGGAATATCTCCATTTAGGTTTCTCTCCGTTTCCCTCCATTTTATTATCTCTACCATTAAATCAACATCTAATGATTAATATTTAATGCACTATAATAGTATTATTGTATTATTAATTAAACAACAAATATATATATATAAACAATTAGACATTAATATGCATACATAATCCGTAAATTTTTATTAAAATATTTTATAATTCTTTTATTTTTATCATGATTATGATAATATTTATTTATATATAGATTAAATTTATTTATATTTTATTATTTAATATTATAATAATACTATAGTGTATTAAATCTCAATCATTGAATGTTCATGTAACAGTAAAGATAGTAAATGGAGGGAAATCGAGAGGAAGCTAAGCAGAGACATTCCTCTCCCCAGTATGGCACCATCATTTGATAACAGGGTAGAATATGATCCGCATAATCTGGGAAGAAGATATTTGGTGGCTGAGTCTTAATTAAAAGGGAGAATTAAGTTAATATTAGCTGGTTAGGTTTCACCTTAGCAAGTGAGATGATCATTCAATCATTCCATGTGCTTATAATCAAAGTAAACGCCTGGGATTCCCAGTTCAACTATGACAGAAGATTTCTGATTCTGGTGCGTCCATGGATATCAGAAACATGTCATCAGTCACCAGATCATGTAAGTTGAGAGTAAAGATGCTGTGGCTGAAGCTCATCAAGAAAAAGAAGAAAAACGAGCTCTTGATACCGTTTGGTACGAAACATTGAAAATGAAGGACAGGGATTGTGATTGGGATTGAGAAAATCCATTAAAAGAATGTTTAACATGCAAGATTGCTTGTTGCATGGGATTAGACAAACGCATGTATACAGGATTGAAGAATACCATGGGGGGGAAGTGGTATTCCCCAATCCTACCTCAATGGATTTGCTTAATCCCGTATAACAAGCAATTACTCATACTAAAACTTTTTTAATGATTTTTTTCAATTACAATTATAATTTCTATCCCTTATTTTCAATACTTCGTACTAAACAGGATTATAGAGTCTCTTGTGATTTATTTTCTTTCTCTCAAAATTCTGATCAAGGTTCTTCACGGGATGAACCAGATTATTTCTCTACATCTTTATCGATCTGTTCTGTTTGCTGATCCTTCTAGAGCATTGGGAAACTAGAGATTTTTCTAGCCAAGGAAATTTGTGTACTTCATGTCCCTGACTAGAATGATTAACTCTGCATCCATCAATTCGCCAGTGAAAGATAGGTTTTCTATTTGTTTGTAGTTCCTTAATTTTCTACCTCAAATGAATACATAAAGTGTCATTATTATGTCAAGTGAGCACACCCAATCGTTTTTATATTTGTGAAGGGCATGGAGTCCATAATCTCTTCCAAATCCGCTCATCTTGTACTGTACCCTCCATAAGGAAAGTCGTTATCAAAGGCAAAACAGCAGCTGATCCAAACAATGCCTGCACCAATGTGCCTTGACACTCTGTTTGCTATATCCAAGTTCTTTGGCACAATCCCAGCTGCTAGGCCATATCTGGTGTTGTTGGCACTCCTTATTGCTTCTTCAATGCTGCTATTGTGATTGGTGTAATCTGGGATCGGCTGGCCTTTGCTCAGTGCTATGATATATTCCTCCTTCCTAAATATAAAACCCCTCGTAGTGTAAATTCCATTATGAAAGGGGTTTTATATTTAGGACCAGATGAGTACTTATTATGATTGGTGTGATCTACACGTTACTTCATTTATCTTGGAATTTTTCAATGCTTAGAAGTTTCATTAGAACAAGAAAATTATCAGGGACAGCAACCAGAAGAGGCTAATGCTTGCAGTGGGGGGGGAAAAGATCTGAGGAGCATGTTACCTCCAGAGGAGATTTCCAAAGTGGTCATCTGGAGTTCCTTAGACACTGGCCTCGGTAAGCACAAAGGTTATCGAAGCGAGAAAAAAGTTTCTAAAATCATAAGCTACACCCAACAATATTTTTCTAATAACACTCAATATTATAAACTAACTTTTAGTGCATTTGCTACCTTAAAATATTTTCCTCGATAATAACAAGCACCCAATACTTAAAATATTAAGTGTCACTGTAAAAACATTTTATGATGCCAGATGCAAAAAAAAAATTTAGAATATTGAATGCATAAAAAAATTAATTTAAGATAAGGAATGGTACTTGAAAATTATGCCATAGTTGTTACAAGGAATTATGATAACCAAAGTGGAGTCAAAAAGGCGCTTGGAAAATGTAGAGTGAGGATGCTGGGGTCTTTGAAATGAGTGAGGCACACAACGTACGGCGCTGGTAGTGGCAAGTTCATGTTCAGGTGGACAAGAAGAATAATTAAAATACCAAATTTTCCAGTTAAGGACCATATTCAAACAAATCAACCACATGATCATCGTCTGCATCATTTAATTCTTGGAATCTTGGTGAAATAATTAATAACCTTCTCGGGCAACAACAGTATAAAATATTTAAGTGGTCACAATATGCAGATTCCTTTCCATGCTATGTTCATTTCTTTCTGTGTTTTTCCCCGAATGGTGTTATTCAAGAGTCAAACATGAAACTCCTCTCTCCAATCGGTTTTCAAAAGTTGCAACAGATCACTTGGAATAACATCACATGGGTGTCAAACTCTCTCAACAATTATTTTCATAGGCAAAATTGAAACTCAAAATTTTGCTTAATAAATACCAAATCACTTGGAATAAGTGACTATGGTTGTTGTCGTTGTGCACATTTCTCGATTCTTGGGAGAAAAATCTTCTAATGATGCTTTTCAAGTTTGAATAAGTTCACTTCGATGCCTTAACTCATGGAGTTTTCCTTCGCCAAAAGATTTTCATTTATAGTTTGTTTAGGTACATTTTACTTGCTATAATTATCATTTGACTATAAAATTGTTTTTAGTTAAATTTTAAATTTTTCATCAACTTTTTTATGCTTCTGTGGGGTATTAAATTTTATTTTATTCTATGTACCTAATAATTTAGGATTTCTTTAATCTTTTCTTTGATAAAGTTATACAGTATAGAAGCATATTTTATGCTCCTCAAGGTAGGACTTCCAAATTGATTTTGAACAGTTCAAATTTAATTTAATTTAATTATGTTTCAACATTTGTCATTTTAATAAATATATGATCTAAAATAAAAATGATTTTATAATTGTCATTTTGTTCAGTAAAAAGTTATCATTTTTAAAAAATTATAAGTTCTAAATCTCATTATAATGATGAGCGATGTTAAAAAAAATATTGTACATCCTTTTGTTTTGGAGCTTGTGGGGATAGTCTCGCCTTTTGCTCCCATTTCTTTTGGAAATCAGCGGACCAAGGATTTAGATCTTGGAATCTCCCTGTTGTTCTCCTCTATTTCGGGGTACTCCGTAGCCACACACAACACCCCCCATTTATGACTTCTATATTTAATTGGAGTTTTTTCAGTTTTTAAAAATTTCCAAAATTTCGTAAAATTACCCTTATCAAACTGTAACCCTATCTTACTATATTTCTTAATTTCTCCATCACACTTGCAGAATATCATAATGAAATGCAAATTTGGGGATATCAAATAATTAACTAACATTGACTACATTTGGTAAAATGACTAGCATTTTAAATACTCAATATCTTATAAAATCCAAGTTACATAGGAATAGAGTGATATTTGTCCTCCGATTGGCCTTCCTCGAACAAAACATTTTACACCAAAATTCGTATCTAAACCTCCCATCCACAGGGCCAATGTTAAATCAGTCATTTTTCAAATTAAATTCATCTAAGAAAATCTAAAAGATTTTGCGAGAAGCCAACCTTCTTGGACTCTTGTGAACAAACAGCCCACTTGCCTTGGAAGCTTGAAAGCTGAAAGTGAAGCCTGCAAAGACGTCAGGATCACCTCACAACTTGCAGGGACTAAATAGCAGAATCCCTTCCTCCAGCTTGACACTTGTAAAAAGTCATCATAAAGAATCACCGGTGTTTATGATTCGAACACCAAAAAAGAGGTCTCAGATTCATCTTCATGTTTCAGTAACCCGGCTCATGAACAAACCTTATCCGGGTGCATCTTTTTCCTTCATAGGCTCAAAAAGTAGATTTCCCCTCTCCTGATCAATAGTATGCCATACAATTCATGCATATGCAAAGATTTGTCTGAAATTGACAGCACAAGTTATAGTTTGCCATAATACATCTTGTAAAAGTCACTATTACAATATATGCATAAAAAAAATGGTCAATCTCCAGCTAGAAAATGGCTAGCATTCCAGCTACACTAAGCATTCAGGTGTAAGATATTTGTGATTTCTAATGGAAAATATACCATATAATATTACAATTGCCAGCCTAGACAAAAAAGGAAAATAACATACAAAATAGGAACGTAAGTGGTAGGGCAAAACAAAAAAGGACGCCCTCCTCTACAGGCATAGACTTCAGGAAGAGATATCACCTCAGCATAGCTAGAGATATTGCGATATGACTTGGCAAATAACAGCCATTGAAATTGAAATCTTTTCTGAAACTCATTGTATGCGTTCCGATGAATTAGTATATGCCTATTCTTCCGTGTTGCCGCTGCCCTAACAGTACTTCGTCAGAGTTTTGCAACCCTTTCATTCCTTAAATCGTTTACTAGCAACAGACTGATCCAATCTGAGAAGACAGAATAAGAGAACTAAGCATAGACAAGATATAAAATGCCAACTCCTAAAACCAAGCTTGTGTACAAAAATTTTCAAATTAAACAGAAAAGGAAAAAACTGTAGAATGTTTTTCTTCTTGGAAGATATTTCTCATCCATCAAACCAGAGCACAGAATTCATTAATCCAAAAAGAAGAGTAAGCGTTAAAGAATAAATGATAAAGTATTGAAGATCACATCACAATCCTTCAAGAAAGGGACAAAAAAAGATATAATTATATAAATAAAATACTTCCGAAAGCCGTGAGATGGAGTAATGGCACAAACAGAAATTGCAGAGTAAATTCATATGTTGAATTGATGCATTCTTTCACACTTTTAAATAAGACCAATCAACAATCAACGACTATTAATTAATCGCCCTATCCCTGACCCCATAGATAAGAAAGATCCTCTCTTTTCATTTCTAGTAAAGCCACCATAAAACAAAATGGCAATAACAATGATTACAAGTTACCTGGGTGAGCTGGCACGTTTTTCCAATTGCAGATTGGCCGCATTAGCAGAAGAGACCTTATTTTCACCATTCAAAACCTGAAAATCATGGTAGATTAAGTTGCCTGCATAACTACTATGATAAGCCAGCAATTACAGATCATCTAGTGCATCCGAGATTTTTTCTTGCTACGAATATAGAGCCCACATATGGTCACAATTCACAAACATCAACTGATAGCTTCAGGTTTACCAAGTGACAATATTGTAATTGATTTAGGAGCATGCAATAAGAATGTGACAATAGGCAAAATTAACCACAAGGGAGTACTTGGATAACGGGTAGAAACCAGGGACTAACCACCAAACCCTTACCTTCAAATAGGATTTTAAGAAGCCTGTCTAAGGCAGCAGTAGCAGAAGTGAAGCCAGCTCACTCCACATTCAGTGACTAAGCTCTCACATATCGGTGCTATGCAAATCCATAAAACGAGTGGTTTCTCTATACAACCACTAAGCCACATCAGGAATTTCTAGTCCATATACCCCTTATCCAAGCATCACCTATTTCCTTAAACAAACAACTCAAATCAACTACAAAAAACATCAGATATCCCCACCTCAGAAGCACTTTCTTTAGGCAGCCCATCTCCCAGCAGTTCATTGGTTTCAGGACTGACGTCATCCCATAAGAAACCATTTTCATGTCCGAGAGAGAGTTTGTCAAATTCTCTATCAACTGCTCCAAATCTAGGTTCCATATGTGCAACATACTTCTCTGTAATTTACATATTAAAAAACTGCATTCAGAACTTCAGAACTCCATGATATCATTACTTAAGAAATAGTAATAAAACAGGGAGCATTAAAGAATTAGGGTTTAAATTCAGAACAAAGGAGTTTTAAATACTGCGATTTTAATTTTTCAACTCTCTTACAAACGGTCACCAAAACTACAAATAATTTCTCCAATGCCCTAGATATATGTACAAAAATATTCACCTCATGAACCAAATTTTTTTTTGTATTCTGGACAGTTCAACCTTGAATACATGAGAATCCCAAGTTAAAAACATGCACAATTAGGTCAGAAGACAGAGAAAGATTTATTAGAAAATACTTATTTAAAAAAAAAAAAACTCAGTCAGTTGCCCCTAGATGGTCTCCTTCGATTTGAACACATTCATTCAAGATTCTTTAATAAGTACAATTTCATAAATCATGCATGTCAGGAATCTCCAGAACTTTTAATTTACCAACGGACAAAGGGAAAATTCAGACACTCCTAATCGGGCAAGGAGGAAATGCTCCCTATATGACCTCACTAGTCCAATAAATTTCCAACCAAGTAAAGCAACAGTTTCCTATTTATCAATCTCAAAACCATTTATTAAAAAAAAACCCGGGGGGGGGGGATATTATAATCATAACAAAATTTTGACTTGGACTAACATTAGTGATTAGTAAGGAAACTAATTTCACCTGCTAGACTACGGAGGGCATTCTCAGCAGCTTGCTGTTGTGCATCCTTCCTTGTCTTACCCATTCCAACACCTATTTTCTCACCGGTGAATAGTACCTGAACAAAGGCATCATACAATCGCATGAGTCCAAAACTACACATGAGAGCTGTTGGGTAGAATGTGAAGTGCATCAAACAAGAGAACCTATTAGATAAGCTACATAAGGCCCAAATCATAAATTAAGATACCAAAGAACATGCTACAAAGAAAGCTAAGAAACCGAAATATGACCAATTGGGAAGCAGACCATAATAAGTTTTTTATTACAAACTAAGCAGACTTTTCATAATACTAAATAAAGTTATGTGAAGAAAACATACTAAATACACACCTTATGAGCAACTATATATATCAGAAGAAAGTGGGTGCTTAGAAAAATTGAATTACGATGCTCATTAATATTCAGGATGCCAGTGTCATCAGGCAAAAATTCTACATGGCTCAACATAGATGATTACATAATGTCAATCAAACTTATAATTCAACAGCAAGCAGCTTGTTGAGCCAATCAATCTCATATAACACCATAAAATTAAACTAAATAAGCAAAAAATAATGAAATATAACAATTATTAATATATGTATATATGAAATTTTATGAGTTCAATAGAGAAAGATCCATTAAAAAACAACTTCCACTGACCTCCATTGAAAAATGCAAGTCCTTGCTGGTGCTTACAATGGACCTAAATTCAACCTACAAAGAGAAACACATGAAAAATAATGCCTTCAAAAACCCAGAAAATTTTTTTTAAAAAATTGCACGCAGAAACCACACACACCTTAGAATTACATCGCCTTCCAATTTCTTGCAGCACTCCAATAGACAGAGCAGGTAAGAAGTTCAATTTTCCCACCTCACTTTGAAATTCTCTGTTAATGGAAGACGTATGATCCTGAGATGCATCATACTCTGGAAAAAACCTTCAGTCAGTAACATAACATAGCAACAACATCAAAAGTTATCAGCTCATCAAATTAGATTGTCACTGAAAAGTTTAAAAGAAAGCTTGTCAAAAGTATTTAGCCTTTTCTGGCCCCCTAAATTCAACTTAGAAAAATTTGAACATTTTTGAGAAAATATAGAAAATTACAGCCAGTATACTCACGATAATAATCTTGTACGAGCTGAACCCTCTAAGATATCATGAAACTAGAACAAATCCAGAACCTACTCTCACATGTCCTCCAATTTTCAATTATGTCGCACTTGTCATGTGGATGGATTATTTAAATTGCCACTTTCTTTAGAATATCAAGGGCAATTTTTTTTTTCTCAGTAAAGTCCTATTTGGCACCCTAGGTGATAAACCAAATACACGCTTCATTGATGATAATAGACAACAAATAAGATTCAAAAGCTTCAAATCCAGTCCATCAGAATGAATTCAGATAATAGGTTTAAAGAAATACCTGCTGCAGGGATGGAGATGGAAGAGTTTGCCTATGCAAATCACGGGCAGAACTTGCCTGCATTAAAAAGAATTTGAGAGAAGCAACCTTGAGTGCTCCAAACAACACACAACCATCATTGAAAGCAGGAAGCAGTATAATATCATTGACAAACCTCTTCACTCTTCCCTTGTGATGCTTGTGAAAATGAAGGATTAGAAGCTGAAGTCAGCATGCTCTGAGACAAAGGTTTCAGCTGAAGTTGATGCTTTTCAAACTTTACATTAACTGGTACAGAAGGTCGAATATTTAGCTGAGCTTTGCTATCATCTTCTACCAACCTGCCTCCATGTGGATGCATTAAAGATGGTGATGCTTGAGTGGGAGGCCTTGATATAAGAGGGGGTTCCCCTGAACTTTGAATTCTTATATCTGGAATATGCCTCGTTGTCAATAGTCCCTTTTTCGTCATAATCATGATTAACAGAGCTTCCTTCATGCTTGATCGGAGGTCCAAGCAAACCAGGCTCTTAAACAAATTAAGAAGAGCTACCATAAGAAAACAGTAAATATTTTCAAAACTAGAATATGATCACCTAAGAAGTAACATACTCTGAGAAGGAATGAAGGTGGGGGAAGACATAGGGTATATAACGTTTGAAATTACACCAGCAGGTAGTTGAGAGGTTTCAGGTTTCAGCTCAACATTGTTGGCCATAGATCGAGTGGGCAAATCAACAGAAGACTTCTCATCCTGTCAAGGGTAACATAAGAGTAAGAACACAGAAAATAATCGTAATGTCTATGATTATTTTCAACCTTACAAAGAATATCAATATTCTGCGGCAAAAACTCATCACAAGCAATATTAAGCAATCTCTAACCAGAACTACCATGTTCAATGGTAACTTCCAAGGCATACTGCTATAACAGAGACACAAAACATAGATGCAAAAACCTCAAAAGCTAACAGATTGGTTTACCCTCTGTTCAGCTTCTACACCATTTATTCCCTCAATGATGGGGGCATTCACACTACCATTAGGCACATCCTGTCATTCGACAAAGTTGTTGATATTAGAGTAATATATAAGCAAGCATCCCACAGCAGCAAAATAGCAACACATAGTTCAAGATTTGTTAATTATCACCAATAAACGAAGAAAAATATATTACAGTGACATACCTCAGACATCAAGTAGTTACTCACATCGGGAGGTTTTGGTAAACTTGCAACCTCATCTTCATAGAAAATTTCAGAAATTCTTTGAAGTAAATTCTCATCAAACTCTCTGTACACAAGTTTTAACAAATTAGAGCCATTGAGAGAAAATATTTGAACATATAAAACAATTGCAAATAACTTACTTGAAAAAACAGCCTCTGACATTGCATGCTACATTTCTTGCTACACACAAGACAGGAACAGCATTGGCCGTCTAAAAATGCCACAAAGAAAATAACGATGTTTCAATTAAGTAAAGCTTTGTTTTTAAAAAAAAAAAACAATTCACTTGCAATAAATAAGACAGTACCTCTGCCTGTGGAGCATAATAAGGAGTAAAGGCAGGAACTACATGAACCCTGGGTTGGTCCTTGTCTTCCCAAACCTTTGAACGGTCATCAATCACCATTGCCATTTTTGGATGGCACATATTACGTTGGAAGACATTCAGTAAAGATTTTCGGGAGCCTAGAAACATCATTAGTATAAAAGGTTTACACATTTATTTTATAGAATTTTGGCAACACCATCCCCAGATTGGTGTGGGCGTATGAGAGAAACAAAGGAAACCAACATGAACAATAACATCATGATGAAGGTAACCATTGCGGCAAGCACAAACATGATGAGTTGAACAATGAATCAGAGAAACATTACGAACCAGTGAGAGCCACTTAGACAATTTATTTTAAAAATGTAATGAGACCAAAAGTATAATATACAAAAAGCAAAGCTAAAAAAAGTTTACAGAATAAGGAAGACATGCCTGATTTGACACAAATAACACGATCTAGGAGTTGCTTTGAACCTATAAGATGTTCCCCAGGGTCAAGAAGTCTCCAGATTTCATAGGCATAATCCCTTTCAGCCATAGTACAAACATATACTTCAAACCGTTTCCGTCCTTTTGCAGTTAAGTAGCATCTCAAATCCTCCCAAGCAGGTCGCAACCTTACTAGCACACTAGTATCTCGAATCTATGTGGAAGAAGAAGCAAAGTTACCGTATATGTCAAAATCCTTATATAAGAAAAAGCTTCTAAACAATTATAGCACTTTTCTCTCATAAATCATTCCCATGGGCGACCAAGCTCTGAAAATATTCAGTTCACCCAGAGAGAGTGGGAGAGAAAAGAGTACAAAACTATTAAATCTAAAACCAAACACGTCCAACCTAATGGATGGCATGAGAAACAAGCAACAAGCTCAAACGTAAGATCGATAAACCCAAAATATCAAACCAGAGCAACTTTAAAGTGTGTAAAATTTAATATTCCATAGTTTTGAGATATATATATATTGTCGGCCTTGAATATTAAGCAACATATGAGTTTTTAATCCAATATTGCTGAGAGAAAGACATTTTAATCTATCTGGCTCTAGCATCATTTTGACTGTTAGGTGTTTTAAAATTTCGTAGTTGATGAGAATTTTTTAATTACAATTTCCTCTCAGCTCGTGACCGTGAATCCTTTCAATAACAACCATCAAGTCCAACATAACAATATGGACAATGATGCGTGGATAAATATCATCTCTATAAGATTAGAATATAACCTCTGGGTTGATGCGAGTGAGGACTATATTCTTGTCTTGCAATCTAATGACAGGACGCCGAACAACTTTCTCATGGTTATCAGACAATGGAGGCACCTCTTCCAATTGAACCTTGACTAACTTTCCATTATCGACGACACAGTCGCTTTCCGTGTACTGCTTCAAAAGTGTACGATCATCCATGTAACGCTTAAGTTCCGCAGACATTCCGGCCACTCGCAGCGGATCAGTCTCACGAGCAAGCCAACTTCGCAGGGCCTCAATTCTATCTTCAAATGACTTCATGGTATTTGCAACGATGAGGGTCTCGTCCAAATCAAACACAATCGCAAGACACCGCAGATTCAACAACCCCAAGCATGCATTGAATAGACCCACAGGAACTGAGTAGCACCAGAAGCATGGAAACTTCTTCCTCTTACTCGGCATAGCCACCAAGTGAATTTCCTCATCCCCAACTAATGCCACCGCCGTCTGTTCCATCCAAATCAAAACCACAAATCAGAATCTATGAATCAACACTTCGCTTTTAGAATTCAAGTTGAAATTAGTAGGGGGCGCAATTGAAGGAGTAAACGAGACAATCAAAGTTCACGTGCTGCCGAGAAATCCATCCTGGTTTACGGAGTGACAAAAACTGAAGCTTCAATCATTGATGTAAAATGCAAAAGTCAAAATTAAGTTTATACAATTAATCAACATTTTCTCATGAGCAATCAGACTGAACTACAGGAAAATACCAGTGACAGATTAAAATAAAAGAGAAATGCCTTTGGCTGAGACCTTCAATTCATAAAAACACGAAGCGTGAAGATTGATCAAATGAGGTTGTTCAATAGGCAGTGATGACTCGAGCTTGCATCGAACAGAGAATGCAGAAATCGTTTGCAGTATTGAAAGAGGAGGACAGCGCTCACTCCTCGGCGATATATGGCGAATTCGAATCTCGTTGTTTGGGAACTGGAAATTCTGGCCCTTGACAGGGATAACATCCAGTTCCCCTAACCGCAAGTCACCGTGGTAGACCACGGATTTCAGCCCCAAGCGGTTCATCTGCACTGATTTGGCTCGCAGTAACAAAGGGAGGTGATGCAGAAAAAACTCGAACGCAGGTTCAACGAAAACGACAATGCTCAGAGAATGAGAAGTTCATGCAAATTTTTTAGAACAATCGTCTAGTGTGGTTCTTCGCTTGTCATCATCTCTCCCACCATCTCCCCCCAGGGTCTCTGAGAGGCTCTTTTCTATCCCCCTCTCTCTAACTCCCCCTCTCCCTCCTCCCTGCGGTTTCAAACCACTGAGCGCTTCTCCTGTATTTATAGGCAAGAAGGGGTCCGGTTAGCCAAGAAACGGGGATTTTGATCTCAAATTACAATAATGACCTCCTGCCCTTTAAAAAAAAAAAAAACACTGAACAACCCCCCGGGGGGCGCCTGTTCAGCTGAAATTACAATAATAGTTCTCGCATTTTTTTTTCATTCCTTTTAGATTTTTTTGGGAAGAAGAAGAAGAAATATAATGAACAGAAATTTCAATAATAAGTAAGCAATACAAATTTATTATAATTAATCACGAGTGCCATTGTGATTGAGGCAACTTGTCCTTAATCAACATTAGCTTATCTTATTGTAATTATGACTTCATACATATAAATGTGTTATTGAATAATTAATCATTAATCAGTATCAATAATAAGGTTCCTTCATTTTTTCCCCCCTACAGACCCAAAAGATGATACAGTTTCGGATCCTACCCAGAGCGATGCAAATTACAGCATTTTTTTCAGGCAATTTTTGTTGGCCAGAAGTTTTTTTAACTTTTTGGACATTTGGACGTTTAAAACGTTTAGCATGAATTACTGTTTAAAGCATTAACTTTAACTCTTCAAACCATTGGTTTATTTAATATAATGATTAATTTGATCTAGAAAAATTAAACATGTAGATTATAATAAAAATGTAAAGTGTTAATATAATTTTTGATCCATCAAGTTTACCTTTGTTTAGGTTTTATTTTCTCAAATTTCAAATTATAGGTTTTAGCCTTTCAAAGACAAAATGGTTTAAATGTTCATTGAATTATTAGAACCAATATTTCAAATGAAAAGAAACTTAATATACTAAAACTTATAGTTTGAAATTTAATAAACTAAAACTAAAATGAAAACAAAGTAAAAGATAAAAATTGTATTAACCAAACTAAGCTTTTTTTTCACATAATTCCTTTACGGTAGTTTTTCCTTGATAAATTATTAGTAATAAACTATAATTGATTGAGTCAAGTGAAAAGAAATTTTTCAATGCCCTAAGAATAAGGTTCAAATTTAATTTTAAATATAATATCTCAATTTATTTTATCTTTAATATTTATTCATTTTACTCACAAGTAATACATATTGTGATTATATTAAAAAGTTTTAATTAAAAAGTAGTTTTAGTATACATAATTAATAGAAATATTTTTAAAATAACAATATTTATTTATTATAAATAAATAATTTAATTAATTTTTTTAATATTTATAAATTAGTTATATAGTTTTTATATTAAATGATGGCGTGATATGATCTAAATTAGTTAATAATTCGGATTATGTTATAGTTCTCACCAAAGAAATGAGTGATTAGTATTCATTTGTAGTTGGTCAAAAAAATTAAGGAAAACTAATTCCCCAATCCTTATAATTTTCCTTACTTTTGATTTAGGTCCTTGAACTTTGTTTTCATTGGGTCCTTTTTGTTTATTTTGTCATATCCATAACTGTTAACAGTGTTAAAAGCCCGGTTAGTATTTGATGAGATGGCATCCACTTGGATATATGTTGCTTAGGTGGACCTGATTGCGTCGAGGGAAATTTAAGCCACATCTGAAAAAGAACTTATTTTTGCAAATATTAAAATAATTTTAGCCAAGTCGGGTTATTCATCGGCTCCCTTGTTCTTGGTCCGCCGTCGTGAACCCAGGGAAAAGGGGGCAACGACGATTACGGTCATACTCAACAATCAGGAACAATCAGAATATGAAGCCTTCTCAAGCTGCGTCTATGTATTCAAGGTGGATCTCACTGGGCTTAACAATCAGACTTGTAAAGCCTTCTCATGGTTAATTAAATTGCAATAATCAAAAATATCACAGTAAGAAGCAATATGAAGAGAATGTTAGATGATTTTGTATGAGGTTGCAATATTAGATTTATCAATCAATACCTAATAGAACAGAACGATTTGGTGACGAAATCAAAATTTTTGAAGAATATGGAATTATGTGGTTAGGGCATAATCCACGGTTGAATCAAATCCCTCTTCCAAATTCATAATCTGAAAATGGAATTGAGGAAAAGGGATTGAGGTTTCCTTCGAAGGAAATTCTAGGAAGATACATGGAAAATCAAGAAGAGTAGGTCAGATCAGAAAGGGCAAGGAAGTACTCAAACAAGCCGACAATGAAAACCCAGAGTCACCCTTCGACACCGAAGAACAACGCTCAACTTCGCCTCTTCGCTTAGAATCATGAAGAAAAAGAGCGCCTATCTAATCTTCTCCCTTCTTGGCATCTGCGTGTGATGGCGATCGTCCCTTCTCCTGCTTTCTGAGCTTCTCCTGTGTTCACGGCGAACCAGACCCAAGTGAGCCGACGCACAATCCGAACCACCCTTTTTTTTTTTTCCATATGTGCAAAATTAATTTCTTTTCAGACGTGGCTTAAATTTTCCCAGACCTGATCTGACCCACCTAAACAATGTGTTGGTGCCATCTCATCAAACACTAACAGAACTTTTAACACCTTAATACTGTTAACAGTTTTATAGCTTCAGGGCTTGTGGATATAACAAAAGAAACATAAAGGACCCAATAAAAAAGAAACAGGGAGCTAAATCAAAACTGAGAAAACTATAAGGACTAGAGAACAAGTTTTCCCAAAAATTAACATGTAAGGATTCAAATTGAAATTAGCTTCTTTTTTTTATCATTTTATTTAATAGCAAGATCTTCGCATAGGATTGGATTTGATTTTACTGAATAATTAAAGTTTAATGATGTGTATTGCATGGATAATAGACAAACCAAATAGCTTGTCTGCCCTTGTCGTAGAATATTTAAAACTAAAAAGGTGTTTGGATATCCCAATAATCACTTTTTAAAAATATTTTTTCTCAAATCGAGACAAACTCCTTCACATATTTACTTCGTATACCGTAAAAGCACTTCTGAAATCATGGTTTTGATTCTACCCAAACACCCCCTAAATTCAACTCTTCAATTAGTTTTCATATTTGATAGAAAATTCTCTTTAGATATATTATAAAATGTTGCCTCTATTTTTTAATATAAGAATTTGTTTGTTTTTTATTTTGATTTTAAATATAAGACCACTATCTATTTTATTTTTAATACTTCCTCCAGTTCAAAATATAAACTAAACTTTGTTAGAGAGGCTTGGTTTTTTTAATAAGATAACATTTACTTTTATCTAAGCATTAATGAGTTTTTTCTAATTTTATCCTCATACATTCTCTTTTCTCTATGATTCATCTATTACATCTTTTACTTATTTTTCCATTAATAGGGGCATATTTGGAAAAAAAATACATGGCTTACATATTTATTGTTTCAAACTAATTTTAACTAGTTTCTTAATAAACGTAAATGAATAAAGTTTAACTTATATTTTGAACCGATAAAGTAATAGTAGTTCTAACTAATATACTTGATTAATAATAATATTTTAGAAAAAACAACACATATTTATTATAAATTACTAACTTAATTAGTTTCTTAATCTACTCAAATTAGTTAACTAATTCTTATATCAAGTATTTGGAAGTAGTATATGGATATAAACAAGCTTAATTCTCCTCAGTCAATTCAAACCTGAACTATACATGCCTATCCCCCATGTGATGTGTTGGTCAAACTTGTGGGATCATTGCTAAACCCTTTCTTACTTTAAGGGGATATTTAAATAAAACCAAAACTATGATTTTAAAAGTATTTTTATAGTATACAAAATAAACATATAAAAGATATTGTTTCGTTTAACGAAAAAAATGCTTTCTAGAAACATTTATTAGTAGTCACGGTCAAACTAGATTAAAGTTGGGGGACCCAATGGTTGATAATGGATTAATGGATGACAAATCAAGGAATTTTCATAATGAATTCTTCCAATCAAAATAGTAAAGTGAAACAATTTATGGCTTCATGCTTTTCTTGATCTTGCTAAAGTGTAAATAATTTTTTTTGAAATAAAATTTTGGGAAGTTTTCAGTACGTTTCCCCTCTTATTTCCTTGCGACAATCTATCCTCTTTTTTTTTTTTTTGCAACACTTAATATTCCATGAACTTAATACATTTTGAAAGATTTATTCCCCTCTTATTTCCTGTAAAAGAAAAAAGTTTTTTTTTTTGGCACAAGCACCCTGATATTGAAAAAAGTCTTGTTCAAGTTGCTATGAGCGAAAAATTTAATCATTACTCATGTTTCCTTGGACGCAATTTCAGAAGAAAAATATATTGGTCATGATCCAGTGTGTTAATAACCAAATCCATCGATGGGACCCTAATTTCCTCTCACGCACGCGCAGTGCCTCGTGGGTTGCGTGAAGAGTGTGAACGTCTTGACTTGAATTGAGATTATTTCCACCATGTTAATAAAAAAAATTAAATAGAAATTATACCAAAAATTCTAAATTAATACTATTTCTGAAAAACTATTTAACAATTCATATAAATTTAAAAAATCACTTAGCTATATATCCTGATTTTTTATATACCTCTCTTATAACTCATTTAAGTTTTAGTATTATCAACCTAATTTGTGCTTTTTTTGTTTTGTCAAAAACCTAATTCACACATTATACAGGTGTCTAACTATAATAAGATATTTTGAAGAGAAAATAAGAAGGATGACAGATAAAAGAATTGAAGTCGTACACTTATAATTAGAAAAATTATAAGGACTCGAGAACTAGTTTTCCCAGAAAATTAATATGTAAGGATTCAATTTGAAATTAGCTTCCTTTTTTTTCATTTTATTTAAAAGCAAGATCTTCATATAGGATCGGATTTGATTTTATTGAATAAATAAAGTTTAATGATATGTATTGCATGGATAATAGACGAACCCAATAGCTTGTCTACTCATATCATAGAATATTTAAAACTAAATTCAACTCTTTAGGTAGTTTTTATATTTGACAGAAATTCTGTTTAGATATTATAAAATACTCTTTCTAATTTTTAATATAAGAGCTTGTTTGATTTTTATTTTAATTTTAAATATAAGATTACAATCACTTTGTTTTTAATAATAGTAGTTTTAACCAATATACTTAATTAATAAAAATATTTTAGAAAAAAATACTCATTTATTATAAATAACTAATTTACCTAGTTGTTTAATCTACTTAAATTAGTCAACTAACTTTTATATCAAGTATTAGATGCAGTAAATGAATATAAACAAGCTTAATTCACCTCCGCCAATCTAAACCCGAAACATACATGTTGATTACCCATGTGATGTGTTAGTCAAACTTGTGGGATCATTGCTGAGCCCCTTCTTACCCTAGGTCAAAGTCAATCTACAAAATTAAAATCGGGGGGCCCGATGGTTGATAATGGATTAATGGATGACAAATCAAGCAATTTTCATAATGAGTTCTTCCAATTAAAATAGTAAAGTGAATCAATTTATGGCTTCATGCTTTTCTTGAAATAAAATTTTGGGAAGTCGTCAGTACGTTTCCCCTCCTATTTCCTTGCAACAATCTATCCTTTTTTTCTTCAACACTCAATATTCCATGAACTTAATATATCTTGACAGATTCATTCCCTTCTTATTTCCCGTAAAAGAAAAAAGATTTTTTTTTAGGCACAGGTACCTTTGAAAAAAGTTTTGTTCAAGATATTACCAGGTATTAAATATGAACAAAAATTTAATCATTAGTCATGTTTTATTAGACCTAACTTCATAAAAAAAATACTAAGTACTAAAAGATGTTCAAGATGTTATTGAGTACTAAAGAAATATGATTATGGTATTTTAAGAAAAATGTGTCATATTTTTTATAATAACTAACTTATCTAATTTTTTTAATCTAATCAAATTAGTTAAATAGGTTTTATGTTAAAGACGGAAAGAATATATTGGTCATGATCCAATGTGTTAATAACCAAATCCACCTAATTTCCTCTCACGCACGCGCAATATCCTGTGGGTTGTGTGGAGAGTGTGAACATCTTGACTTGGATTGAGATTATTTCCACTTTGCTAATAAGAAAAATTTAAATGGAAATTATGCGAAAAATTCTAAATTAATCCTATTTCTGATTAACTATTTAATAATTCATATAAATTTAAAAAATAACTTATTTATAAAAAAAAATGTATCCTGATTTTTTATATACCTCTATTATAACTCATTTACGTTTTAGTATTATCAACCTAATTTGTGCATTTTTTTGTCAAAACTTAATTTATACATTATACAAGTATCTAACTATAAAGTTATTTTGAAGAGAAAATAAGAAGGACGACAGATAAAAGAAACTGAAGTCGTACACTTATAATTAAAAAAGTTATATTTTTAATTTTATTCTTATTTAATATATATACTCTTTAGAAAATAACAATCCACACATTAACAATAATAATAAATGATAAAATTATATATTTGTATAAAAAATTTAATAATATAACTTATAAATAGAATAAAAAATTTTACATCTAACTCATAAATAAGATCATAAAAATAATTAAGTATGAATCTCAGTACTGCGGTCACATGCAAAACATGAGCAAAACATCTGCCACGCAGCCGAAGAACATTCGGCCGGGGTGGCGGGGAGTGGGGAGAGCGAAGCAAGAGATGGCGCTGAGCTGAGTATTCTCATCACCTGTGCACAACCCCATGTTATGTGATGGCGTGGCATTAAATGAATGGCTAGATCTATCTAAATTTCATCGCTGGGCACTTTATCGGTTTACGTCCAATCAATGTCTCGCTGACAATAGACTCGACCGCATTTTAACATCGCTGAACTAAAATCCAATTACGCTGAAATTTGGAGAGGCCTCACCATCGACCATCATCAAAAGCTTCGTGCGAAGCCCGTGGCGCTCGCTTGTCGGAGAAATTCAAGTCAAGCAATGTCATCCTTCGGCAGCTCTAACCGGCCATTTGACGACGACGGCTACGTTGACTTCGATCATCACTTCCAATCTCAGCGCCTAGAATCGTTCTCTAACTTCGACGCCAACTCGGCTGGTGACTCATCTCCCATATTTGGCAGCCAGTCTTACGCCGCCGGCGACGATATTTTTTCGTCTCAGCCGGTCCCGGAAGCTCCGTCTCCTCCATCGATCTACTCCGCTGCCGGGGGATACGCAGCGTTCTCTTCGGAGCAGAGCGTAAAGGATCTCGATGGTGATTTCGGTTCCTCTAATGGTCCGATCTTACCTCCTCCCGTGGACATGGAACTTGAAGTGGGATTCGCTCTGAGGGAATGGCGAAGGTAAGCTTGTGATCGCTGATCTTTGCATCTGATTGGTGGCGTTTGATTTCAATATCATTCAGTCTCCGTCTACGAAGTTGTTGCATGTAGATGATTTGATGATGGTATGTTTCGATGGGCAGAAAGAATGCAGCTCAACTTGAAGAGAAGGAGAGGAAGGAGAAAGAGCTGAGACAACATATTATAGAGGAAGCGGAAGAGTACAAAATCGAGTTTTGCCGGAAGCGTGAGATCAACGTTGAGAACAACAAAGCGTCAAACAGGGAAAAAGAGAAGGTGAATTATTTCACATATTTTCTGTTGTTTTTTTCCTTATGATCTTGTGCTTGTTGTTGCAGTAGTCTGATGAACTTAAATTATGTCTGAATCTAATTTTGTTGAAGACGTATATGTTAAGACTATTTATGTCTTTTCGACACATTGGTATGAAATATGCCAGCATAATGCAACTCTCTGAGTTGAGGTGTCCAACTTTAGTTATTCCAAAAACACATCCTTGGTTCAATATCAAATTAGTTTCACTAATATTTAAGTTGAATTTAAAGTGCACTGATCACATTTTGCAGTATTGCCATCCTTGAGAAGACTGTGAGGTCACTGAAACCTTGATTCACAACTTTTCGAGGAAGTTGGCATTCTTCTGTCTGTCAGCCTATCAAATTTTAATTTATATTATGAGAGTTCTGTTTTAGTGCGACATATATATCTGCCGCTCCTTTACTTTCCTATATTGTTATGTTTTTCTCCTTCCTGTTTTGTCTCTGCATACGCACACTAACTTCCCCTATCACTTTGGAAGGCAAATGTGCTATTATTATCCTCTCAACCCATTACAAGACAATCTGTCTTGCATTTGACAGCTTTTTCTGGCAAGCCGGGAGAAATTCCATGCTGAAGCTGAGAAAAACTACTGGAAGGCAATTGGTGAACTTATTCCACATGAAGTGCCAGCCATAGAGAAGAGAGGGAAGAAAGATAAAGAGAAGAAGCCTTCCATTGTAGTGATTCAAGGGCCAAAGCCAGGGAAGCCAACTGACCTTTCAAGAATGCGCCAAATTTTATTGAGACTCAAGCATAATACTCCGCCACATATGAAGCCTAAGCCACCCCCATCATCAGAACTGAAAAAGGATACTAAATCTGGATCTTCTGATGGGGCAAGTCCAGGTGCTGTACCTCCCAAGGCTGTAGGGGTTGTTGCTGCAGCTTGAGAGAGTTGCTGAATGCTCAATTCTATATGTGAAAATCAGTATGTCAAGTCTGTGATAGCGACAAGTTTGTGAGGTTCTTGGTGATGAGTGTGCGGCTGCGTATTATGTAGAAAATTAAAATATCTATGTCAAATTTGGTTGCCTAATACTACCTCTTACCAGCGAGGTTTTATAATTAAAATCCAAGGTATTATAATTAAGACCGGAGGTAGGATGTTGGTATTTCGTTTTCCTCTCTACTGTTTTTTCAGGCTGCGATCTCCTGTGCTCTGTGGCCTATCTATTCTCAATTGTCTGCTGCAATAGATATGTGTGTGTGTGTGTGTGTGTGTGTGTGTGTGTGGCTAATGTGGGTTGCTTTGACCTTGGTATTGGCATCAAATGTTTTATTATAGCTTTTGATGTTCAAGTTTGACCTCGTTATTGTCATTTCAGGGAACCCATTTATTCGAACTTAGAGAGGGTTTTATATAAAAAGAGCATTTGTAAAATAGATGAACCACCGGTATTATCATCAAATCAAAGACATAATAAAATTTATAATATATTATACTACTTCCGATCTTAATTATAAGAGCTAGTTGACTAATTTAAGGAGATTAAGAAAATAAGTTAAGTTAGTTATTTGTAATAAATAGGTGTTGTCTTTCTTAAAATATTCTTGCTAATCAAGTTTATTGGTTAGAACTACCATTATTAGAGGGATTATCTTGGAAAACAATGTATAAATATGAGAGACAAAGTGAATTGAGGTCTTATAATTAGAACCAAAATAAAAGTTAAACGAAGTTTTATATTAAGAACCGGAGGTAGTATTACTTAGGTTGAAAAACAGTATGACTCTTTTTGGGGAAAAAAATTTGGGTTCCATATTTGTTTTGGCAAAATTGACATTTTTATCTTAAATGATATTAATGTCAAATTATTTTGATATATTTCAAGACAAAGCAAAACTGATTGTAAGGGGAAAATTAAACTAGTACCCAGTATCAAGCAATAGGCGGCTCCGCCAGAAGGAAAACAGCTAAAGCTTCGATTGCATAGCAATAAAATTCCATGTTGATCGAGTAAGAGAAAGCAGGATCATCATTGTTTATTTTATTGTGTATTTGGCCAAATAATATAAGTATTATATATATATATAGTAGTAATACGCTAGGCAATTGAAGTTCAAACAAACTTTGGGAACCGCAAAATTTGCACCCTACAGCCATGATATTTGATGTCATCTCAAGATCTTACTATCACAGGCCGACGACTGCTTCATTAAAAAGAACAAGTACAGAGTACAACAGCTCAGATAAACATAGAAGGGCAGAATCTAAAGGCAGAGGAAGCTTGAGCATCCTTATGTGCTACTAATTGCTGCAATCTCACTCCACAACGATATGGGAAAGATCCGAAGTATGGTTATGGTAATTGGACACCTCACATCTTCTTATTAAAAACACTATTTGTGTTCTTAAAATTACAGTTGTCTTGTTTTCCTAATCCTCTGACAGACACTTTGAATAAATCAATGAAAAACTGGTCAATGTAACTACACGTGTAAGTACGAAAATAATCAATTGAGCTAGTCTCTGATCAACAATCTACATGACCAGCCACATATCAACTTCTAAAAAGACTGTCATAATCCTGCAGCAGAACGTCATAGTAAACTTCTAAGAACTGTATGATTCATCTTGGAGTCATCTCTGTCACAGTATCAGAATCACCAAACTGGCTAGAGGTTATGAGTGAATTTTCAGGTCTTTTAGACTTGTTCGCTTGAGAACTTGATGTCTCATCCGAAAAATTTACAGTATTTCTGGAGGCTCGATGCCATGTATGAACTCCAGGCTCCGTCAAAGCCTTCTCATTAAGGTGAACTTCCTTGGAGAGCATTTCTACAACTTGCTTCATGGTCGGTCTGTGATGAGCGGCTGCTTGGGTACAGAATAGAGCAACCTTAATGAAACGCATGACCTCAGTCTCATCATATGAAGTTAGTTCTGGATCAACAACGTCCAGAAGCCTATTTTCTTCTTTCAGCTTCCAGATCTGCCTCCAAGTAAATTCTTATGTCAGAAGAATATCAAAAAGCATTATAAACAAAGCTGAGGTTAAATTGCAGAAAGGAGGAGAAAGTAACATGAGAAGTAACTGTTCAGCATGAAAAAAGACAGAAAAAGAGATCATGTGTGAGAATATAGTAGGACTAGGGAGAGAAAAAGGAAAAAAAATTGATTTAGTAAAGCTACATCGCCCAATGTCGATCAATTAGTTTATTTCTCTTCAACTGTCTCTGCTTGGAGATTAAACAAGTCAAATTAATATTCTAGCATTTCTCAGAACTAATTGATACACACAGAGTTCAGAAGTATACCCATTCCACGAGAACCAGTAGCTTATCTCCAAATGCAGCTTTGCTGCTACTTCTACCACTGATTACTTCGAGCATGAGAACGCCAAAACTGTAGACATCTGCTTTTTTTGTAAGCTGTCCAAGAAGTGCATATTCTGGTGCAAGATATCCCCTGTAGATATAACTTTCTTATCTTCAGAAAATCTCAGATTGTATACTGAAGCCAAATCCCATAAAATCACCAAGAGCAAATCATAAAGCAGCTTGGATGTATCCATCGCACATAAATTAATTTATCCTAATAAAGATTCTCAGGGATACGTGGGGATGGAAACTTAAAACTTGTCTCTTCATTCTAAACACATTTACCGTTGTTATATTGTTCTTAATGTCTAAACTGCTTTTAATCATAGTTCAAATTTAAAAATTAAATTGACATGCTGTTGATGCATGATAAGATGGTAGGATTATAGTATGCTATGAATCTAAGAAGCATGTTACTATATCAGAAAATTAATCTAAGAATGAGAGCAGACATGTTGGCTGGAACGACTCACAAGAAACTAAAAGTTCCTTTTCTTTCGTTTGTTCTAAGGAAAAACGAAAGACTGGTCTGGTTGCACAATAATAATCAGAAGGAAATATTAAGGCCCCATTCACATATAACGATATCAATAATATAAACAATGCATTTGTGCTTACACAGTTCCAGCCACTCGAGTACTCAGATGGGTGACATTGTCGGGAAAAAGTTTTGCTAGGCCAAAGTCCCCTATCTTGGGATTGAAGTTCTCGTCAAGCAGTATGTTGCTAGCCTTAATATCTCTATGAACAATATTTGGCTGAACCTCGTCATGAAGAAACGCAAGAGCAGAAGCTGTACCACGGCAAATAGTAGCCCTTTTTTGCCAATCTAGAGCTACATATTTACTTTTGGAACCTACAAAAACGTTTTCTACAGAATTAGCAGTAAAACAACGGATGGACAGCAACATTAAAAGGTTAAATATCCAACCAGCTCCGAGGAAACTCATATATTCACACTATAATATGCATTTTTGAATTGTTCATACTTACCAAGCAAAGAGCTTGCAAGGCTATTGTTTTCCAGAAATTCATAGACCAATGTGCGATGATTGTCCTCTATACAGCAGCCAACTAGCTGCACAAGGTTTGGATGTTTTATATTCGATATCGTATCAATTTCTGTCATAAATTCTCTTGTTCCTTGCTTAGACTCTACAGAAAGAGACTTGATAGCAACTTGAGTTCCATCCCGCAAAACTCCCTGGAAATGTTAGTGACAGAGCAAATAAGAAATTTACCAGAAATAAAGGGTGGAAAATTAAAGACAGAGAAATGCATAACCCATAAAAGCCAACAAAGGATAGAAGGCAGAAGCACAATGAAATAGCAAACTACAGATGAGAGTCTTTATTCTCACCTTGTAGACAACTCCATAACCTCCTCTACCAATTCTGTTGGATGGATGAAAGTCTCCTGTTGCTGATCTTAAGGAATTATAACTAAACTTTTTAGTTGACATCACTGCCATTCAAAAACACATAAAACACACAAGTAAATCACCAAGTTTCTCAAAAAGAAAATATTAGTAAAAAAGCAAAACCCTAACAAGCTTTCCAAAAACTATTCAGGCAAGTATATCTGATTTAAGTTGGACAAGTTAGTTCCCAAACATCCAGACCTCCATCCCAACCTCAGTTCCCACAAGAACATGCAACAATTCCGGACAAATGTTGTCGGCGGCAGGTTCTGAAATGTATTGAAGGGGTAACAAATATATTTCCAACGAATGCAAATATCTGAGAAAACAACTTTGTACAGTTGCAATTACAGACGGATAGCCTCAAAACTAGTAACAACATTCATATGGGGTTTGAAGAAAAAATACATAGAAACATGCCATGCAATAGAATGGACATAAACAATGAAAATCGTAGAACTTAATGATGAATGAGATAAGTCAAAACACCCCATTCTCCTTACCTTGTTCGCGTGACTGATCATCAGAATAATTCCTCCGTTTACGTTTACACCAATTCAAGGCACCGAAGCAATTTCCAATCATTGCTTTCTTCCAGTCTCTAACACTATTGTTGATAAACCTTCTTAACTGCATTTGTTCTTCACAACCAATTCCAACCAGGCAACCACTGACTAGGACGAAGACCAAAGAAGAAATCTCATTCTTCGGGGAAAACAATGATCAATGATGCAATCTGGTATCCTTACGCACTATATATAAGCAGATAAGTCAACCAGATCGAATAAAAGTACCGTGTTTTACCCACAAAGGTTGAATCGTTCCCCTCTTCTTTTCCTTTTGCCAGGTCAAAATGTTTAAATCACAGAGGTACCAAGAATCCTATTTCGAATCTTGAAAAGCTGCGAATGTAAGAACGACAGACAACCATGATATATTCGAGATAGAAACATTGAATAGCCGGAGAGACCCTGTAAATCCATGTACGATGAAGAAAATGGAGAATTTGTGAAAGGTTAAGGAAGCACTGTTGGAAAAGGAGCGCCAACAAGCAAGCATTAGGAGGGGGTAGTGGGAGGTTATACCTGCGAAAGCGACTAATTGTATTTTTCTTTTGCTTGAAAGTATGAATAAAGGACGCGCCACCAAATCAACAAAAAGTCCAAGCAGCAAGAAGAGAAAGCGGCCTGAAACCCGAAAAAGACATGCAGACGCTTCACACCATGCTTGTTCATTTTTTATTGACAGTACAATGAAATAACTTTGATTAACATAATATTTAATTCTCGTATTGCCATAAATTTTGATTTCAGTTCCTTGGGATTTATCACAAAGAAGCAAAACCAACAAATTTGAGGATGTGAACTCATAACCTTTTTAGTCAAACTTTCTAAGTTAATCAATTATTAAACCAAGCAAAGTTCTCAAACAAGAAATGTTTGCGTTCTGGCAGCATACTCGCATGCATGGTCTTCTCTCTCTCTCTCTCTCTCTTTTTAATCCCCCGGGATATCCTCGTATCCTAAAAAATTGAATACCACAGAGCGGTGAAAAAGCAGCTCATGATATTAAAATGATACTACCTCTTATTCTTAATATAACAACAAGTTTGATGTTTAATTTAGTCTTAAATATAAAATCTTAATATACTTTATCTCTCATATTTATCTAATTTTTCTAAGATAGTTCTTACGGTAGTTACACATGTTAAATGTTTTTTAACTCCAAAAAAAAAAACACGAAAGAATAGACAAGAATACACGTAAAATATTTTAGTAGTCGAAACTTTAAAAAATTTTAACAACTAGTTTTCAACAAAAAAAATATTTTAAAAAAAAACTAACTAAATTTGAACGGTTTAATTTTAATTTGGATGATTCAAGTGTTCATCACTTAACTGTTGTGATAAGCATCCAAACTGAATTCATTTTCAGCCATGTCAGATGCTTTTTCATTTGGTGTTGGTTTGAGAAAACCTATACACGCACACAACATTAAGTCATTATACAGTGATTGAGATTGTTGTGAAGTATTCCTACCATACCATGTTTGATAGCGTGCGTGAGAATTAATATAGGGGGATAGCATAACAATTATTGTCAACTTAGAATGAGATTTTATACTATAATTTTCAACATAAAATATATCCATGAACAAGTCCATGCATGATACATATCCAAGTGCTATAACTTAATAACACCCCGACGTCTTCGTTAAGTTTTTCTCCAACGTAAGCACGTGAATTTGAATTTTTTTTTATTGAGAATATGATGTGTTTTAAAAATATGACACCCAAACTACGGAGTAATTCAAAATAAGCAAGGTATAATTAAGAGAGAGTTCTTGCGAGATTCCACTAAAAAACTAGAAGGTATCCAGAGATCCTAATGTTAAGCTAGCAGTTCAAAGACGGTGTTATTTCTTACCTCAAATCTTGTCATTATAAATTGCTCATGAAAGTTTTTAGTAAACATAGACCCTGTTTGGTAGAGCGTAAAAATCTCTCATAAGCACGTTTTATGTAAACCAAGATAAAACTCTTCTCACATAATTACCTCGTATTCTGTAAATCATTATTGAAAAGCAGCTTATAAACTACTTATAAGCTATTCCAAACGGTCCTCTTTTTTTTTTGAAATCTTATAGTAATTCTTCTTATAATTAAAAGCTCATTTATAATGATTTATATAAGTGGTTTTTTAATTATGATTTATAAAATACGAAATAAGTATAAAAAATTTTTATCTTAAATTATATCAAACATGTTTTTAAGTGATTTCAGATTAAGTTGTAGTTAACAAGATTCACCTGCTTGGCCAGAAAAATAATAATAAGCGCGTCCGGCTGCGGTGGAAGAGAGAGTTCAACTGGATGAGGCGAGCTTTGATCAATTCCACTGGGGAAGTGCATTCATATCATTGGGCATTAAATGACGATAAATACTGGGGCATTCATACCAATTTTGTAACATCGTTCAATGTACCAGCATACTTAACGATAAATACAAATCGATGGACCATGATTGTCATTTTCAGTCAAATCACGATTTTATACATGCTGTTATTTAATACAAGCATGGAATAATACTAAAAAAAAAATAGTTAATTAATTATTAATTTTTCTAAATTACTCTCCTCTTATTAATATAGGACCTAATTAAAAAATTCTTACTTTTTTTTTTCAAATTACCACATTGATATTTTTCTAATAATAATCTGGTAGGAGAGGGAATAAGTGAATTAAAAAAGATACTTAAGATGTTTTTAAAAAAACATATCATATTAACTAATTTAACTAACATTCTTAATTTACTCAAATTAATTAATTATGTTCTACATTAAAAACCAGAAGAGTTTTATATTAAATCAGGTGTACTGAAACTATCTCTTGACAGAATTCCTTTAAAATCTATAAGAATATTTTATAAATTATAAATTTAAGAGATAAAATAAATTAAAATTTTATATTAGATTAAATTTAACTTTAAATTAGTTCGAAATGGTACTAATTAACCTTGTCCCACTCAACTGTCACCTCATGAATTAGCCTATGTTCGCGGCTATAATTTTTATTTCCGAGGACGTATCGTGTATTTTGGGCCAAATACACACCCACATGTTTATAAATGGTCGCAGATGGAGCCCGGGTCGAAAGGAATCAATTAATCAAATTCTGAAGTTTTGAACATCAGTGCCCACCAAACACCCCACAAGTATCTTTTTCGTCTTTGCTGATTAACGTTAAACTTTCCGGTCGCGGTGTGACTTTGAAATTGGTGAGCATTAAGATAAGATTCTTCATACTACTGATTTTATCACTTTGATATAAAAGCTATTCCGTAAATAACTAATTTAAATATATTAAAAAATTAGTTAAATTAGTTATTTATAATAAATATATGTTGATTTTTTAAAATTATACTCTTTAATTGTGTATATTATAACTAATCTCTGGTAGAACCCCTTACAAATAATAATGATGTTTTGAAAAAAAATTATAATTTAAAAGATAAAATAAATTAAGATCTTATATTTATAATTAAATTTCAACTTATTTTTAATATATTTTGGAGGTGAAAAATGGATGCCCTCTTATACTGTTCACCTGTTTCTTAATGATTTTGACCCCCAAAAAAATCGGTTTCTTTATGATTATTATAATACATCTTGCAAAGACCAATTTTTGTATATTCTTTATTTCCAGACTACTACTATTATTTAGGGAAAATCCTAATTAAATCATGCTGAAATACTTAAAATTAAATTGAGACCTACACTTTTAACAAATTCTTAATTAGGACATAAGACCTGATTAAGAATTACTGAATATTGTTAAGTAACTATAATACCCCTCTTTAGTTAAAAATAAAAATTGATTATTTTATCCCTCTAAAGTGGTTCATCATCTCTTATTATTAATATTTAGACAAAAAAATATAAATAATTTTTTAGTGTTTGAAATTTTGTAATATAACTAAAATCTTCAAAATATTTTCATAAAACATTTCAAATTATAATATATGTAATCTTTAAATAAATATTTTTAATATTTTTTATTTTCAGGTTGTAAATATTTATTTTAAAATTTTAAAATATTTTAATTATAATAAAAATTTAATATTAAATCGTAATCATTTACGTTTTCAGTTGGATCCAACATTGTTTAAATAAATAAAACTAACGTAAATTATAAAAACTGAAAATAAAAAATATTTATAATTTAACATGTTTTATTAAAATATTTTTAATAGTATAAGTTATATATATACAAATTTCAAAAATTGTAAAATTACTTATATGTTTTTTGGTCTAAAAAAACCATAAGAGATGAGGAATTACCTGGGAGAGGTATATTAATCAAGTTTTCTTTTTAATTGAAGAAGGACATTTTGGTGATTTAACAACATTCAAAAATCCCTAATTAGGTCTCATGGCCTAATTAGGAATTTGCTAAAAGTGTAGGCCTAAATCTGAATTTAGGTATTTCGGCTAGATTTAATTGGGATTCTCCCTATTATTTATTTGAAACTATTGAAGTAAATTATATCAGTATGATTTTAGGCTGAATTAATTATCAACATAACACAATCAATTTGGATTTTCTTAATTTTTTTCAAGGGGAAAGTAGTATTTACCTTAGTATAAATAGTTGTTTGGATGAAAAAAAAATCATAATTTTAAAATTAATTTTACAATCTACGAAATAAATATATAGAAGAGTTTGCTCCAATTTATAAAAAAGTGTTTTTAAAAAATATTTATGAACATATTCAAACACTCCCTAAAAATGAAATGGTCATTCATGTGGGTGAACATTGATATGCTAACCAAATATTCCACAACTCATAGGAGGTCTAGAGAATTAATTAATTAGCAGTAATTAACATATAAACAACTTTGTTTTTATAGTAATTCTTAGGTCAGAGAATTTAGTTGTATAATTTAATTTTTCTCCTACTAATCTCCAGGATTAAGAAGGAGCAAGGATTTCCCGTGGGAAACCAATACCATATTGTTCATAGACAATGAAGTGTGACTTTATATATTTTATAGATTTCCTTGAAATCCAATATAATAAAACATAAAATATTTATGTAATTAAAAATATATCACATCGAATAGAAATATTAGAGTGATTCTTGAGATATTGTGTGACAATTCTAATTGCCAATCTTCAGTATAAGCTATGAACAGTTCTCTCATCCCAAGCAACTAATGCAGTACTCTATAACAACGCAGGCAATTGGTTTTTGAAAAATTTACAATAAGATCCCATCTAAAAAAATTAAATACAAAAAAATTTCTTAAAATCATCAAATTAATTTGAAGTCTAATATCACGGCAGATATTAGCAATATATTTTCTCAACGTATCAAAAAAAAATAATACCTGAGTTATCAATAATTAAATATTTTGAGGCAATTATGCTCATTTGTATAAATAATTAAATTCCTTTTTTCTGGCAAATTTTCTATTAAATAT